ATGTCCGCCACCTTTGGCTGCAAAGGATGTAGTCAATCTGATTTCGGTGCTGACCATCTGGTGAAGTCCATGTATAAAGCCGTCTTTAGGTTGCTACAACTTACTGTAACAAAATCTGCTCTAAAGGTTTGAACTAGGCATCAAAGGAGCTATTCTCAGAAAGATTCTGCACTTTGGAGAGTTCCTTGAAAGCATCAGCAGCACCAAGACCATCTTGTCTTTCAAGGGATATTGGGGCAAAACTATAGAAAGAGGCTTCCAGAAATAATTCACCATCCCATTTCTCAATGATGCTAAAGCATGTTCAGCATTTTCCAGCTAAAACTGATCGAGAAATAATTCTCAGCCCATCCCCTTATATAAGAAGGTAACCTCCTCTGGACAAACTTTGGGATAGATTGATCAATTTCAGAGTAAACTTTGGGACACGTGCATATTTAATGGTCAGTCTACATATCTATATATTTTAAACAGTGACATCTTTTTAAAAGGAAGAAATCAGTAATATATGTGATAATAGACTTAAGAGCCCCAATTAATTTTACTTCAATTGTCAAAAGCAGAGGACTTCATTGGTCACCAGTTCTTTTTCTACAGAAATATGATGTTCCTTTTCAGAAACGGTATTTTTAACTTATTATTTATAATGACTCAAATCAAGCTGCTTATATTGAATTTAAATTGTCAAATGTGTAACCATTTCTAGAAACAGCCATTGTAGATATAATCTCAATGTTCCTTGGCAAGGAAACTATAATTACATTTAAAGTATGTTAATAAATGTAATAAAGCACTACATTTCACTTGCATTTCACAGCACATTTATGTAATTGAAAATAAGGTTTGCAGTGCATTGCAGCAGATAAATGTTCTTTTGCCTCCTCTCCTTAGAAACAGTGCAATTATTCTGAAGTGAAATTTAGTTGCTAATATTTTTTTTTACCTCTCTCATTTCAAACCATTGTGCTAATATTGTATTTTGAGGATAAAGTTTTTTAAAAGGCTTGGGACTCAAAAAGAAAGCAAATTAACTTTTAAAGAGAACAGATTTAAGGAAGCAATCCTTTCCAACACAAGAGTGAACCTCAACCTATCGATTGTGGTGTTTGAAGCAACTTGGAGCCCCTTCTGGTCAACATTCACCAACAGCAGAATTGTTGAGTTGATGGCCTACACCTTCCATTCTGACTCTCACTCTCATTCCTGTTTTTCAACCGTCCAACCCTGCTTTGGCATCACAGGATATGTGTTCCTTTGAGTCCAACGTCATGCTGAAACACAAAATTATTGAGTTATGGTGAGACCTCAAGGGACCTTCTTTGACATTGTAGAGAATATATATATATATATATATATATATATATATATATATATCAACCAAGGTTACATATACTGAAAAATAAAATTATTTAAAATATACATATACAATGATATATTTATCACATATTATGGCAATATCTTTTTATTTTCATAATCAAAATTGGCACATTTCCACCGACTGACTAAACCTCAAATCGTTTCTAACTCTACAGCCACAGATTCCACAGCCATGATCAGTGGAGCATCAGTCAGACAAAATGAGTGGATCAATTTTCCTTCGGTTATCCAAATGGGCAACCTAAATGGCAAAAAGTCTGGAAGCTTAAGGAACTGTGGATGTTTAGCTTAGAGAACAAGCTGAAAACAGAAGGGGGGCATGATAGCTATGTTTAAATATTTGAAAGGATGCCACACTTGGAGGGGGCAAGCTTCTTTTCTGCTGATCTGGAGACTAGGATTCAACTGAGCAATTGATTCAAATTGCAGGAAAAGAGATTAAATAAGTTTAAATATATTTTACAAAATAAAATGGAAGATATATTCATTTTGAATGTAATTTTTGTTACCCAGTGTATGTCTTCAATATGATCCCTAGTGCCTCTTCCTTTCCTGAACCCGGTTTGGACACTTGGCATTTCTCCAACTATGGTAAAAAGACTTTGTTGTAGGGGCTGCGGTAGCACAACGGGTTAAACCGCTGAGCTGCTGAGCATGCTGACTGGAAGGTTGGTGGTTCGAATTCGTGGGACATGGTGAGCTATTGCTGTTGGACCCAGCTTCTGCCAACTTGGCAGTTTGAAAACATGCACATGTGAGTAGATCAATAGGTACTCCTTTGGCGGGAAGGTAAAATTGCTCCATGCAGTCATGCTGGCCACATGACCTAGGAGGTGTCTATGGACAATGCTGGCTCTTTGGCTTAGAAATGGAGATGAGCACCACCCCCAGAGCTGGAGATGGGCACCACCCCTCAAGAGCCAGAAGGGGAAACCTTTACCTTATCTGTGTTTCTAGACATTGAATGTTTGCCTTGCTTTATGTATGCTGGAAAATGCCCAGAATCCCCTCGGGGAGAGAGAGTGGTATACAAATAAAGTATTATTATTATTATTATTATTATTATTATTATTATTATTATTATCAGTAGTAGTAGTAGTAGTAATATTAGTATTATTGGGTTGTTGTAGGTTTTTTCGGGCTATATGGCCATGTTCTAGAGGCATTCTCTCCTGACATTTCGCCTGCATCTATGGCAAGCATCCTCAGTGGTTGTGAGGATGCTTGCCATAGATGCAGGTGAAACATCAGAAGAGAATGCCTCTAGAACATGGCCATATAGTAAAAACAAAAACAAAAACCTACAACCCAGTGATTCCAGCCATGAAAGCCTTCGACAATGCATTAGTATTATTATTTATTGTTGTTGTTGTAGAATTTTGAGCATTAATTTGCTTGCATGAGAGAATACCATGGTCCTGTGGTTACTGCAATTTCTCTTTTAGGGACTGGAATGTATATTGGGTGTTTTCAATCTGTGGGCCATTCATTTTCCATATTTACCTACAGATTTTAATTAGAGCTAGCGTAGATTCAGTCGCTATAGCTTGAAGTAGCTCTATTGGTATGACATCTGTTTCTGGTGACTTATTTCGGAGTGCTACTGCCATTTCACTTTCTAAAATTGGAGGTCAGCTTCAAATGGTTCTTCCTTGAATGAATTTGTCACCCTTTCATCTCTTTGATATAGTTCTTCCATGTATTGTTCCCACCATCTTTTTATTTCTGTTTGATAAGAAAGAAAGAAAAAAAAAAGAAAGGAAAAGAAAGGGAGAAAAAAAGAAAGTGACAGTCATTAATTTCCCAAAAAAATCTTTTGCCGGTGATAGGCATCTTTTATACAAAGTTTCATTTCAAACTGTTCAAAAGTTACAAAAATAGCAAGTGAACTATTCTGGGTGGCTAAGAGAAAACATGACATTTCCCGCTGCTTTGCATACATCCAAAAGCTGCCTTTCAGCTAATGAGGCTTGTAAATGAAATGCAGCACCAGCCTTCTCTAATTAATGAGTTAGAATGAACAAATAATATTAGGCCATGGTTCGGTGTTCAGGTGTTGTTGCTTTATGGAATCATTCCAATAAAAATATCATAATAGAAGTGTGTGCATTTAGTTATTTCTCCGTTCTCTTTAAATCTAAAGCTCCTTGATGAGCAACTTTAAATAAATATTTGATGCATTTTATGGTTTTAAATCTTGAATTAAGTCTTCATGGTCTGCAGCAACAAAATATATTTGAACTGGAGTCCATGGTGAAGAAAATAATAAGCATCACTGATCTAACCATAGGATCAAAGCCAGATATGGGTAAACCCAGGCCCAGGGACCGGTTGCGATTCCTTGGGCTCTTTTCTCAGGCCCTCCTCTCCCTTACCATCATACCCTTCCTTCTCTCTTTCCTTCCTCCTTCCCTCCCACTTTCTCCTTCCCTTCCACCCTTSCTTCTCTCTTTCCTCCCCCCTCCCTTTTGTGTCTCTTTCCTTCCTCCTTTCCTCCCTTTCTTCCCGCCCTCTTTCTCCTTCCATCCTTCCCTTCCACCCTTTCATCCTTCCTTCCCTTTTTCCTCCTTCTCTCCCTTTCTCTTTCCTTCCTTCCTTCCGTCCTTTTTTTGTCTTTCTTTCCTTCTCCTTCCTTTATCCTTCCTTCTCTTCATCCCTTCCTTCTCTTTTTCCTTTCTCCTTCTCTCCCTCCTTCCTTCCCTTTTGTCTTTCCTTCCTCCATTCTTTCTTTCCTCCTTCCCTCCCTCCCTTTTGTGTTTCCCTCCCTTTTGTGTTTCCTTCCTTTTCTCTTTCCTTCCTCCTTTCCCCCTTTTCCTGCCCACTTTCTCCTTCCATCCTTCCCTTCCACCCTTTCATCCTTCTCTTTTTCCTCCTTCTCTCCCTTTCTCCTTCCTTCCTTCCTTCCTTCCTTCCTTCCTTCCTTCCTTCCTTCCTTCCTTCCTTCCTTCCTTCTTGTCTTTCTTTCCTTCTCTTTCCTTTATCCTTCCTTCTCTTCATCCTTTTCTTCATTCCTTCTTTTTCCTTTCTCCTTCTCTCCCTTCCTCTCTCCCTCCCTCCCTCCCTTCCTTCTCTCTTTCCTTCCTCCTTACCTCTCCCTCTTCCCGCCCTCTTTCTCCTTCCATCCTTCCCTTCCATCCTTTCATCCCTCCTTCCCCTTTTCCTCCCTCTCTCCCTTTCTCCTCCCTTCCTTCCTTGCTTCCTTTTTGTCTTTCTTTCCTTCTCTCTTTCCTTTATTCTTCCCTTCCTTCCATCCATCTTTCTCTTTTTCCTTTCTTCTTCCCTCCCTCCCTTCCCTTTTTTCTTTCTTTCCTTCCTTCCCTCTCTCCCTCTTTCTCCTTCTCCCTTTCCTTCCTTCCTTCCCTCACTGGGCAGCCAGTCCTTTTAGCAGGAAGTGCTAACATGTGGCCCCCAAATTAGAAAGTTTGTCCATGCCTGATCTAAACCATATGAATAAAAGTTAGAAAATTGCAGTCTAAATTCAAGTTACATATGAGGAAATATAATAGCTTACCTGCAATATCTCATCCTTTACATATATAGAGAGAGAGCATGCACTTGTAGTTGTGAAACCAATCCACATTTCCCTGACAGCACAAATACCAAATGTCATGAGCTCAACTGTCTTAGCTCCTTGGAGTAGAGACTACAGTCTATGGAAATGTGTGTAAAAATAAATAATGCACAAAAATAAAAGCAAGACGCTGCTATCCTTTTCTATTCTTGGACATGCTGGTGGTTGAGATCCCATGATACTGACCAGATCTGCTTCGGACAGAATCCCTTGAAGGTAAGAAAGCGTTCATTCTGTCTGCAGTGACCTGTCCCAAGTCCGTGAGTAAGAAGAGACTCTGCAACATGGATGGGGCAAGGTGGGCAGCAAAAATCCTATGCATGTTTACTCAGAAGAACATCACTCTGGAAGCAGTAAGTGAGTACAGCATTCTGGTCTTAAATAGATTTCTGTGGTATTAAAAGAAAAAAATGTGTAGTGTAGTGCAAAGATATATATATCTTAATGTGTAGAAGAATATGCTCAGTGTCAGCAAGGAAGAAACTGTAAAAAAAGTGCTGGCAGAAAACTGATCACACGCAGTGAAAAATTTAAAAGTTTACAGATTAGGCGTTCTGTCTTCCAAAAGTCTTTGTTGAGTGACATCTAAGCAGTCTGAGCAAGACTTGTTGTTTCAGTATTGCTTTAAATATAAGAATAAAAAAAGTAGGAAAGAAACTTTCAGTACACTGGGAGCAAAAACAATTCAGGCTTCTTATGCTTTTAATGTCACAGGGTCCCCCTCCCCCACTTTTATACATATTCCCTGTTTTATGACTGCTTCCGAAACAAAAATAGAATGCATATCAAAAAAGTCCAAGATTTCAAAGTGTTGTTTTCTTGCTACTTGGAGCTTATTTTGCACTGCCACTAACTTAGTTTGTTGATTTCACATTCTCTCTCTCTCTCTCTCTGCCTTGGCATGAGTTATAAATACTGGGCGAGTGACAGCACATCCCCTATTTCATTCCTGACTTCCCAAGCATGCCTGGATTGTACTTGATCCCCATTCCTTTCTGGACAGACTTGAAAACCTATGTACTTGAAATGTGTATTTCAGAAACATTTTGGTCGATTGTGTTTTCTGAACAATGCGTGCACAGAGATTGGCATTTTGTCCTAGAATTTGTCCTCTTCCGCTGCTACTCTTGGTAGCAAATAGGAAATGTTTTAAAAAATGCAAGGCATCCTTTCTTGGAGTGGAAAAAGAAGGCTGAAGTCGCATTCCTATTAGATTTTGAGGCCTCCTATTTCTCACGGTGCGTTTAAAGTGCTGCCTGGTGAAATAAGGAGCAGAGTTGTGCTCCCTTTGATACAGGGGTGTCAAACTAATTTTCACAGAGGGCTACATCAACTTTATGGTTGCCTTCAAAGGGTTGCTTGTAATTCTAAGCCTGTCTAAATGGAATTTTTTTTGTCCTGGCTTTGAAAGCCTTGTGAGCAACATAAAATGATGTAGAAGGCTGGATTTGGCCAAAATATTAATTTTGTATTGAAATTATTAAAATTGAGTACCACTCACTCATGTGAGTGAGTGTGTGAATGGATGGATGGGCACACAAGTGGGTGGGTGGATAGGTGGGTCTTTGGGTGGGTGGGTAAATGTGAAGTTCCTAACACATAATAATAATAACAATAATAATAATAATAATAATAATAATAATAATAATAATAATAATACCATCTGCCTGCGACAAAGAACTAGTGGGATCACAAGCCAGAAAAAGTTACAGAGAATGAACATGTCAAGCTACTCTGGGACTTCCGAATTCAGACAGACAGAATTTTGGAACACAAAACTCCTGACCTCACGATCACGTTAAAAAACAAAGTATGGATTGTCGATGTTGCAATCCCAGGTGACAGCAGGATTGAAGAGAAACAACTGAAAAAGATGACACGATATGAGGATTTAAAGATCGAACTGCAAAGACTCTGGCACAAGCCAGTCAAGGTGGTCCCAGTGGTGATCGGCAGACTGGGTGCAGTGCCTAAAAAACTTGGACCAGGCCCGTAGCCAGGATTTCGTTTGGGGGGGGGGGCTGAATTTTTTTCAGGGGGGGGGTTTGGGGGGGGCTGAGTTTCGGGGGGGGGGGGGCTGAGTCTGAGTGAAAGAGGGTCTAGCCTAGCAAACCTTTTGTATCATTACCCCAATACCCCCATGCATATGGGATATATTGAGTATGGTTATCAGATCATGATATGAATAAATATAACAGTTTAAATAATGCACCAGTAAGGCCTTTTCGCGAACCACCATGAGAATTTCGGGGGGGGGGGGGCTGAAGCCCCTCAAGCCCCCCCCCTGGCTACATGCCTGGAATTAAACACAATCGGCACTGACAAAATTACCATCTGCCAACTGCATAAGGCCACCTTACTGGGATCTGCACATATTATTCGCCGATACATCACACAGCCCTAGACACTTGGGAAGTGTCCAACGTGTGATCCAATACAACAGCCAGCAGAGTGTCTTAACTGCTGTGGACTCATCTTGTTGTGTTTCAAATAATAATAATAACTTTATTTTTATACCCCGCCAACCATCTCCCCAAGGGGATTCAGGGTGACTTACAAGGGACAAGCCCAAAAAATTACAGATAAAAACACAAGCAATTAAAAACATCAGATAAAATATAAAAACAATCAGAATCGTAAACATCAAAACACATGTTGCACTTGCATCACTGCACCTCACAATGTATATTTTGCACAGTCCAACCACCTGCCAAAAAGCAGGAAAAATGCATTCAAAGCACCCCTGACAGATGGCTATCCAGCCTCTGTTTAAAAGCCTCCAAAGAAGGAACCTCCACCACACTCCAGGACAAAGAGTTCCACTGCTGAACAGCTCTCACAGTTAAGAAGTTCTTTCTAATGTTCATGTGGAATCTCCTTTCCTGTCGTTGGAAGTCATTGTTCTGTGTTTTAGTCATCAGGGCTGCAGAAAACAAGCTTGCTCCCTCTTCCCTATGACTTCATCTCACATATTTGTACATGGTCATCATGGCTCCTCTCAGCCTTCTCTTCTGCAGCTCTTTAAGCCGCTCCTCATAGGGCTTGTCCTCCAGACCCTTGATCACTTTAGTTGCCCTCCTCTGGACACATTACAGTTTGTCAACATTTCCCTTAAATTGTGGTGCCCAGAACTGGAGACAGTGTGATTCCAGGCGTGGTCTGACCAAGGCAGAATAGAGGGATAGCAGGACTTCCCCGGATGTAAGCACTATACTCCTATTTATGCAGGCCAAAATCCCATTGGCTTTTTAAGCTGCCAGATGACATTGTTGGCTCTTATGTATAATGACTTCTTCCTGTACGTTGCATTGAGGTGTTTTTCTTACACAATAGAAACTTCCAGATATATAAGTATTGTAGTTCAATCCATTAAGTCTGGTGTAATGGCAGGTTTGGGTGCCATTCCATATAAACATTTTAAAAAATCATAATTTTTGAGCAGTATCAATCTCTGAGAAAAGGTCAGATTACACTATCTAATTTGTTTTTAAAATGTTCCTGGTTTGAAAGTGTTATTTCTTGTGTAATTGTGTGGTACTTACTTGAAAACTAGTTGTTATACTCCAGAAACTTAGCTTTTGTGGTTGCCACAAATTATGTTTGGTTGAGACTCATATCAAATAGCCATTGAAAAACGTAGCAAAATATGCTGCAGGATGTCTAGCAAAAACAAAAAAAAATAAGTTTTTTTTTCCAGATATGATGTTTATAACCCAGGAATAAAACTCATGTTACATCATGTTATCTATTTAGGAGTGGCACAGAAAAAACAGATATTTTTATCCATCATAAATTTGACCTTTGATATGAAATTTATTTTCTTGTTTGCAGGTACCACAAATGATAAATCAATTGTTTTTAATCAACCAAAATTTGAGAAGTTACTTTTCAAAAAGAATCCAAAAGAAATACTGAGTGCATTACTTTAGTTATTTGGGAAATTGCTTCAGAGCACAAAACCGATTTTTTAGGAAGGTAGTTCTTTATATGTGCACCCTGGTGGCGTAGTAGGTTAAACTGCTGAGATGCTGAACTTGCTGGCTGAAAGGTTAGAGGTTCGAATCCAGGGAACAGGGTGAGCTCCTGCTGTTAGCCCAGCTTTTGCCAACCTCGCAGTTCGAAAACATGCACATGTGAGTAGATCAAGGAAGGTAACGGTGCTCCATGCAGTCATGCTGGCCACATGACCTAGGATGTGTCTACGGACGACTCTGGCTCTTTGGCTTAGAAATGGAGATGAGCACCACCACCACCACTAGACAGACACGACTAGACTTCATATCAAGGGGAAAACTTTACCCTTTTTAGTTCTTTATACACTTGGAAATGGATTGGGAAACATGTACATTCTATTTTGTTGTGTAAGAACAAGACAAAACTTTTATCAGTTACATTATAGATGGCAACTGTCTCCAGGACATTTGAGAAAAATCCATCCATAGGTTACAGGTTGGTGCTGGGTATGCTGAGTAGTATATACTGACATTTATCACATATTTTGATTGTGTATATTGGTAAGGAAATGTATGCTTTCTCCTTTGGCAGAAACTGAAAATATGACAGGTAATCATTTGTCACTGCATCCATTTACATAATTAATGTAAAAGAAATAATGGAATCAGAAAATGGGGATTTAGCAATACATTTGCTAATAGCGACAAAAAAATATGGAGAGAAATAATACAATGAAATGTAGAGCTGATGGATTTCATTGTCGGTGTTGTGTGACTTAAAGTAGTTTCTGATTTATGGCAATCCTAACACTGGATTTTCTTTCAAGCTTTGTTCAGATGGGATTTGCATTTGCCTTCCTCTGTGGCTGAAAGAGTGTAACCTGCCCAAGCTCCCCAAGTGGGTTTCCATGGCTGAGCAGAGATTCAAACCCTTGTTGTTATCTGAATCTTAAACCACCCCACAACGCCATACTAGCTTTCAGTTGCATTTAATTGAAATCCACAAAAATACGCAAAAAGATTTTTTTGCAAAGCAATATTTACCGTATATACTCGAGTATAAGCCAACGCGAATATAAGCCAAGGCACCTAATTTTACCACAAAAAATTGGGAAAACGTATTGACTTGAGTATAAGCCGAGGGTGAGAAATACAGCAGCTACTGGTAAATTTCAAAATAAAAATAGATACCAATAAATTACATTAATTGAAGCATCAGTAGGTTAAAAGTTTTTGAATCTATATAAATAAACATGTAATGTT